AGCTCATCCCTGCCTCCCTAACCTGTTCTTCCTCCCACCTATCCCCTTCTCCCACCTCAAGCCGCACCCCCATCTCCTACCTACCAACCTCCTCCTGCCCCCTTGACCTGTCTGTCCTCCCTGGACTGACCTATCCCCTCCCCACCTACACTCACCTTTACTGGCTCCATCCCCGCCTCTTCGACCTGTCTGTTTCCTCTTCACCTATCTTCTCCTCTATCCATCTTCTATCCGCCTCCCCCTCTCTCCCTATTTATTTCAGAACCCCCTTCCCCTCCCCCATTTCTGATGAAGGGTCTCGGCCTGAAACATCAGCCTTTTTGCTCCTATGATGCTGCTTGGCCTGCTGTGTTCATCCAGCCCTGCACCTTGTTGTCTCGGATTCTCCAGCGTCTGCAGTTCCTACTATTTCTGACACACTTTAAAGTTCCACTGATTCCTCTCTGTCCAGGTACCCCACATTCCTATTTGAACAGCCAACATTCAGACTCTGTCTAATCCTTTTGCTCACATTAATGCCTGACAAGTGTTGTCGTTCTTTCTATTTCACAAACCATTACTGATGTTTATAACCTGCTCCCTTGTCTCCGTCCAGGACAAAATGGCACATAACCTTGTGAAAAAGCCTGGAGAAGGGTAGCACACTAGTGGTAGACACCTTGATGGCCAATGTTTACTTTGGTCTTTTGAAAAAGAGGCTTGCTCCATATTTCAGCAATGACTCACCTTGAAAACAAGAAGCTCCTCAGACACATTGAGAGAACTCATCCTCTACATATGTTGAAGATTTTATTCCCTTGAAGCTGAATCCCTGTGCATTCCCCCTCTCGTGGAATAGCACTTTGGCTGAGGAAAAGGCACATGGTACAGGTGTTTCACCAGCTCTTCATTCGAGATTCAAGGTAGAGCTGTATGAGTATCTGCTATGTTGATCCTGTCAAGTTTGCTCAGAAAAGGAGTGCCATCAGTAGCAGGTTCACCGGGCTATAGCTGCACCTCTTCAGTTTTACCAATCAAACTATTTCCCAGCCTGTCAGTTTCACTTGAGAAGTATTCCCTGACAAGTTCAACACTGCTTAGTTGCATATCAAAGTATTTAAATGTCTTACAGGAGAAACTTTTTAATGATGTGTGGAACTTTTAAATGTCTGAAAAGGCTATTCAGCCTTCAGGCCTGCTGTGATCTTTTGTTGATGGTTGACATGTATCTCAACTTCATTTACCCACCTTAACCCTATTTTCATCTTTATCCCAACCGTATTTATCTGCACACATTTTACGATTCTACTCTCTCCTCTGAGCTATTCTCACGTCCAGACCTCCTTCCATTCATTCCAGTGTAAACTTTGAATTTATTCCTAATTCAGTTGTCTTTTTCATTCATTTGGAGAATGCTTATTTAACTTGGGCATTTTTTGTGTGCTTACTCAACTTACATTTACATAGTTTATAAAATGCCCCATCTTTCCCCCCATTTATATCACTTATAGTGGTAAAGAAATGAAACATTTGCATTTATATGGTGCCTTTCATGACCACCAGGCATTATGAAATATCTCACGGCCAATTAATTAACTTTGAAATATAGTCACCATTGCAATGCAGGGAACATGGCAGTGAATTTATGCTGACATAAAGCAATGTGATAATGACCAGGTAGGTAATCTATTTTAGTGATATTGGTTTAGGAATGAATAAGTTGCTGTTCTGTGAAATAGTAGCTCGAAGATTGTTACTCAATTACTTGATTTAACATCACATCTGAAAGATGACCCCCTGAAGAAGAATCATATTGGATTCAAAACATTAACTCTATTTCTCTCTCCACAGATACCGCTAGACCCTACTGAGTTTCTTCAGCATTTTTGAGTTGACTTGTTATGTTGGTTTTTAGAATTAAATTGCTTCATAATACACAGAAAAGGTGTAACGTGACAACTAAAGTTTAATAGTTATTACGGTGTCACTGCAAGTTTATTGTAAAATAATCTGCAATTCTTTAAAGAAGATAAAATTTCACAGTATTATGAAATTATTGACACAATGTAAAAATCTAATATTTTTCAGACCTGAAAAATTTAAAGATGAGCTCTGAAGTAGAAGTATACAGTTGCAATAAACTTGTCTGTGATTTAATTAATTATTTAATAACTCTTTCCCATTATTTAACAGTTGATGCCAAAGCCTAGCGAGCAGCCAAGGCAACATGAAAGTCACCCTGAAGAAACAGAAGAGGAGCTCCGAGAACATCAGGCCATGCCAGAAGAACCATACTCTGACAGAAATGTCAATCAGAATGAGTCTACAGCTATGAACAAGGTGGTACAGGTAAAACAAGAGCCAATTGAAAGTGATGAGGAAGAGGAAGAGCAACGAGAGCAGCTGGAGCAAAGAAAGAGGCAGGCAGAGCAACAGCAGGAACTACTCTTCAGACAGGTATTTGTGTGTTTGATTGATTATAAATATTTGTATTACATCGGTGACTTGTTAAAAATTCAGCTACCTTTAATGAGTCATGTGGAAGTATATAGTAAGAATGCAGAAGTAGATAACTCTCAAGGTAACTTTTTTATAATTTGCTTAAAATTAAACCCATTATAGAACTTCCAGCTGATCCTGTTTTCAGGTTAATGTCTTTTGTTTATCTGCAAATGAAATGTCCAAATTTTGCATCAGCAATGAATAGATGTTATTCTCCATTTATTGCACTTCTACTTGTCAGTGGGCTTTTGCACTGCATCTTGCAGCACAACAACATGGTACTGTTCAGTTAGAATACTCCATTCAGTATAAGATCATCTACATAAAAGGAAATAGAGATGGGACTAAGATTTTTAAAAAGGAAGACTATTTTAAATTTCTGACAGTAATTGAAGTCTGAAGGAATGAGACTGCACACTTTTAAAACTTAATTTTCAAAATTAGACTTGGCATTTAATAAAAACGAGCATGATGCTTAAAAATTACTTAAATCCTAATACCTTCTGGTGTGTTCTGAATGTTACTTAATGGGTAAGTACCGTAACTTCATGTCCTTCATGTGTTTGAATTCCAACAATATTGATGAGATACTAAGAACAGCAGAACTTGTGCAATAGCTTTATGATTCCTGAGTTTAACTGGGCATGTCCAATTGTCAAAGGTTGCTGTCCAAGTTGCACCTTGACAACAGTGAGCATTCCAAATTTCCTTGTGTATCTTAGTTTTCTGTCCAGCATGGGCAAGGAGTTGACTGGCACGTTGTTGAACCTGCCAGCTTTGACGTAAGTTGCTGGGCAGGAATGCCATTTACTTTTGCTGGTTTCCCACTAAAAGTTAAAATCTATATTTATTCCAACATACTTCAGATTTTCACAGTAATTTAATATTTATAATACAATCGCACAAATACAACTTATAAGTGTATTGGTAGTTACTGACTTGTTTGATTACTTTTTCTGCTATCTTGCTCGATTTTTAAAATTGTAAATGGGAAGAATGTTACTTTCTTCCCTTAGGTATAGGCAGCCATGTAATATTCTTTTCACTTGTATTCAAAAGAACAAATAAATACTGTGGACCATGAAGTGTGTGTGGTCTTTGCCAAAGGTAAACACATCTTGGTCTCATGTGTTTCTTTAATTCAGCTGGTTGTCACGGGTTGGCTGCAGTTCACACAAACAGAAATCTCAGTACCCAAAGGTTATGATCCAGGTTCACTGACATACAGAGTAAAATCTGACTCCAGTCTTGTGCCAGGACATATAACAGAACAATCAGTGTCAGTTTGAAAGCAGTAATCTTGGTTATTGGAAAGCTGTGTTCTAGAATGATTAAACTTTGATAGAAATATGTGTAAGCAAACAACAAATAAAATGTCATTAGTCAAAAGATGGATTACGTTTATTCCTGTCATGTTTCATAAAACATAATTATTCTCACATTATGACTCCATTTTGGAAAAATATCATGTTGCATGGAAATCTAAAAACAGTGATTTTTTTTGTGTTAGTAATTCTGCATAATTTGTTTGAGGCTTTGCAAGATTGGCTTGGATAACAAAATGGAATATAGACCTGACTTGTATTTAACTTCTGACGTAATCTATGCTCTATTGTGCACAAGCAAATTGTTAACTATTTTGAGAAACCTGATAACTTTGGATTTTAAAGTAGTGCCATTTACCAAGGTACAAATAATGATGAAGAAGGTTACTTAGCCCATTGAGCTTATCATTCCTGAAAAGCCTTCTGTCTCCTTTCTATAATGTCTAGCTGCCTTCCAAATAACCCAGAGAATCTTGTTCCAAGTAATTAATTTTTGTGTGATTCAGATTCAGAGAGTCAGAGCTAATGTATGGTACTACCTGATCGTGAGTCCAGTAATTGTTCATGGAACTTTCCATCTGATCTCTCCATTGTCGCCATTGAAAATCAGCAAATGAAGGATTAGGTATTCTCTTTGGATGTTATTTCAGACTGGCCCCCAAATCTCCCACTCCCAGGTTTCAGGGATAGAATGTGAAGATGGCTATTCTTGACATCAGGACCATATTTGTCTGAGGGTAGCATCAAGGAGACCTAGTAAAACTGGAGTCATGGGAAATTCTCCACTGGTTAGAGACATAGTTGACCCAAAAGAAGATGATTATGGTTGTTGGAGGTCAGTATTCTCAGCTCCAGGACATCTCTATAGAAGTTCCTCGGGGTAGTGTCCACACCCAACCATATTTAGCCTCTTCATCAATGACTTTTCTTCCATCGTCAGGTCAGAAGTGGAATGTTAGTCGATGATTGCAAAATGTCCTGCATCATTCGCAACTCCTCAAATACTGAAGCAGTCCATGATCCAAATGCAGGGAAACATTCATGCTTTGGCTGGCAAGTGACTATCTCCAACAGGAGAAAATTTAACCATCATCCCTTGATATTCAATGGCATTAGAATCTCTAAATCTCTTGCTATCAACACCCAAGGATTTACCATTGACAAAATACTGAACTGCACTAGCCATATGAGTACTGTGGCTACAAGAATAGGCCAGAGGCTAGAAATCCTGCAGTCAGTAACCTCCTGACTCCCCATTTGCCTAAATGATTTCAGCTCCAACAGCCCTCAATTATCCTGAAACTATCCAAGATAAAGCACAATAGACACCACATCCGCAAACATTCACTCCCTCCACTGCCACCACTCAGTAGCTGCAGTCTTTACCATGTACAATTTTGTAATGTGTTGAACAACAACACTGTTTATTGTTTGAAAGCTACAATGTGACTTTTACTGGCTACACAGTCTTTACAAACTCTTTGTAAATTTACATCCAGATACATGAATGCAGTACTTTGAACAATTTATTCTGAGCATTCTGATATGTATAAACATAGGTGATGACTTTAAATCTCTATATAGACACCAGGTATTTATTTTGCAGTAGCTTAAATCTCTTTACCTCTATTTTTGCCTAGTGGATTGTCTAAATTGAGCACATTAATGCTGTTCTCCAACTAAAGGTGCAGTTTAAAAATGTAGCTGTTTTGAATCTGCAGTTAGATTTTGTTGAGTGGATAATTTATTTGCATCAAAATATTTGTTCCTATGATTCCTGAGAGACATAGGAGTCAGTAACTGTTCAAAAGGAGATGGAGAAAGTATATATGGTGCATGAGAGCAGTCCTCTGTCACATAATCTTAAAGATGCTCCAACTCTGGACTTTCTAACCAGCTATGAGTTTTCAGTAAAATTAACAATTTTGGCAAGTCATTTCTGCCAAACACTGCACAATTTTTTTTACTATTTCTCTTCTGTTACTTAATAAATAAACGTTGAAGTACTCCTGACTGCTAATATCTGAAGGAGTAAACGTTCCTCCTGGTGTTGTGTAGCTCAAACCATTCAGACTTGAAGCTTCAAGTTTTAATTCCAAGGTTTTGCCTGGTCTTGGTTGTTCTTCAGTGATTCTGGCAGGTCTATGTCATAACATCATCACAGTACAGAAGGATGCCATTGAGCTCATCCGTATAGTTTTTTTCTCCAGGGATGGGGAATTGCAAATTAGAGGGCATAGGTTTAAGATGAGAGGGGAAAGATTTAAGAACGACCGGAGGGGTAACTTCTTCACGCAGAGAGTGGTGCATATATGGAATGGACTGCCGGAGAAAGTAGTTGAGGCAGATACAATAGCAACATTTAAAAAACATTTGGATAGGCACATGGATGAGAAGGGTTTAAGAGGGATATGGACCAAATGCAGGCAGTTGGAACTAGCGGAGTGGGCAGCATGGATCAGTTTGGGCTGAAGGGCCTGTTTCCATGCTGTATTACTCCTCATGACTCATCGAGTCCATGCTGGCTGTTTGTAAAGGAACCCTATCTCCCCATTCCCCATAGGCCTGCAAGGTCCTTCCCTTCAACTGTCCACCTTGTTTCTTTTTGTAATTATTCTTAGTCTTCACTTCCACTGTACTTGTAGGCAGTAAGTTTCAGGTCATTATCACTCACAGTAAAAAGACAAAAGCTCTTCCTCACATCCCCCTTGCATCTCTTGCACAAAACCCCTTGCACAAACCTGTGTTTGCTACTCTTTTGGCTATTTGGACCAACTTTTCTTTGTTTATCTTTTATAAATCTATCATCATCTTCTAAATATATACCAAATCTCTCTCAAACATTTTTACCTCCAAAAAGAGCAACCCCAGTAAGTCACAGCTACTATGTTGTCCTGGTATTCCATTTAAATATTGCATCTGTAATAGGTCAGTTTATGTTATAATAAGTGGCATTTATCTACTACAAGAGCATGTGAAATTGACTTGAAAAACCCCTCTTTGCTGCAGAGGGAAAACAAATATTTGGAGAAACTTGCAAGACTAATTGTTATTATTGAAACATGCGTGAACTTGAAATGTGAGTTTGGATTATATGTGTAAATTCCTTTCGATAAACTTGGTGCTTTTATTACTTCAGTAGAATTACCAGTGCCTGTAGATGGATATGTCAGGTGGTTTTTGTTGCATTCATCCCTAATGCTTTGAATAGTCAAGTATGATCACAGCTGAATGATTAATGCAATATGTTAAGCTTTTCTACATGAAGGTGTGTGCTACAGCATATGCTGCAGTAGAATATACAGCATTAAGGGAAAGAAAAAGAGTTGACAACAGAAGATTTGGAAGAATTGGTAGGAGCTGAGTCTGCGGACTCACGTGAAGACAAGAAAGAGGTTGAAATCCCAGTCTGGATGCTTGGAAGTGTGGTGCAAGCCACAAGAATATCAAAACAATGATGGATTTATTGTTTACCTACGGTTTGTTTCAAGTGTAGCATTTGAATCAAAGGGCCGTAAAAATGTTTTGACTCCATATGCAAAACATTATAAGGAATTAAATAAGAAGATATATTATATGGTGATTGTAACGAGGTCAGCCCGCTGGACCTCACAGAATATGAATACCTTG